AAAAAAAAAAAAAAAAAAAAAAAAAAAAAAAATTGAAAGATCATTTAATTTAAAAGTTGAAATTTAGAACTTTGTCCCTCAAAAAAATTTCTAGTTACGCTTCAGCACAGAAGATATAGCCTGTAAGTTGAGTTATTCCTTTACTAAGTCATTTCCTATATTGAAGCTTTAAGCTGAATATTTGGCTATGGCACTGGCAAAACTTCTGCCATTAATACCTTCTAAAATTTTTGGATGTTCTCAAATTGATAACATACTGATAAAGTTATGCATGCATTTTTTTTCCCACAATAAAAGATTATTACATATTCTGGTATTTACCATCTTTTTGCATGGTTATACATGCTCGTTGTTAAAATGATCAAAGTTGGCTTATATATTAGAACTGCTGTGGCTGCATCTGTTTCTTTACTAGTTCTGATAATTTGTCCATAACAGATCTGTGGTCTGTAATTACTGATTCTAAATTAGGAAGGGTTATGATATTATCCTCCTTTTGAATTGTTTGGCAGGTTGATCTTAGAGCCATTTTGTCAAATCCCCTTGCTTTAAGTCATGGAGTACTGCTGTCTCTCTTGCAACAGCTAGCTTGTGATATCAACAACGATAGATCCCTGAAAATTGCATGGATGACTGATGTGGCTGCTGCCATAAACCCCACGGACCCGATGATAGCGATGCACATAAGACCCATCTTTGAACAGGTGTACCAGATATTGAACCACCAACGGAGCTCGCAAACGATCTCTCCTGTTGAGCTCTCTGGCATTCGTGTTATCATGCATGTTGTCAACTCCATGCTGGTAACTTGTAAATGATTCTTCCTTCTTTTTCGCATGTAATTTTGTTCTGGCTTTTCAACACCCTAATGTGCAGATATAGAGCATGGAGCATAGATACACATCTCCTCGTTCATCATGTTTATTTCTGTAAAAGGAACCGAAAACATGTAGATCCGTTATTGTCGAATCTGTGAAATAGGTGTAGCGTTAGGCTCGCTGCTCTCATTTCTTTTCTTTTCTTTTCTTTTCTTTTCTTTTCTTTTCTTTTCTTTTCTTTCCATTCGTCATTTTACGAGTGATTTTTGTTGTCGTCGTGCTTAGAGATCTGCCAGATGAAAATCGTTGGAATATGTTGTGCATTCTTCTTTTCCTTTTTGTGCTTCCCCACAACAAGCTTGTGGGGAAGAAAGGTTTTGTAGGCACTGATCATTTTATTTGTTTGTTTTATCAAGTGCTGAGAGAGGAAGCAAGTGTGTGCTTTTTCAGCACCAGGAGAATTCTCCCGTGGGGGTTGGGGGGTTTTGGATGGGAGCTCGAAGCAGTAGAAACAATAGTTTCGCTTCCCCAATTATTATAATTATTACTATTATTATTATTTTATGCCCAAATTTCAAAAACTTCTTTTTATTTTTGCCCTTCAATATATTCATCCTTTCGTTTGAATCTTTTTGTTCCTTTATTTATGTCTATCAAACGAGAGCTTATTATTGTCAGTATCACGGTTTTCATCTTGAGGCTATATAAGTTAGGTATGTTATATAAGTTTATTTACAATTTTGCTCAATTTAGAATCATTCAAATTTGACATAGTTATTCTTATTTAGATCGGAAATAAGGGTTGTCGTGAGATATTTGATCAACCTACTTTCTCTTCAAGAGATGATTCTCTAAATGATTGAATGCACTCCGACAACGATTATTTGTTACTAATTTTAGGAGAAAATATTATTGCGCGAAAGAAGTTGAATGTAATAATGTTTATGTTTTGACCAAGAAAGTCTAGTTCGAACCAATCTAGGACACTACTAAGATTGTTGACGTATACTCGCTACTTAAGCTTTTCCCCCAAAATTAAATGAACAAATAATACAACATCCACTTTCAAAATGGCTCCTCTATCTCCAGCGTCCACTTCTAGTGACCATCTCCGGTGACCACTACTCACCATCGACGACCGCCTCCATCAACCATCTACAACGATAACTCGAACAACCATTGCAAGCAACCGCTCCAGTTTCTCCCTATAAACCGTGGTTAGTAGTAGTTAATATACTGATTTGCCATTAATGGAATCATTTTGAGTGAAACAAACTATACAAACTTACCATTTGAAAAACATTAAAAATAGAAACTCAGAATAAAACCTTAGAAGGATAAAAGACTGAAATTAAATGAATCTAAGAGAAGAAACTCATACCTCAACCAGTAGTTTGTTAAGTTCTATTATCTTAAACCATATTTGGCATGTGTAGGAATTGTTGTAATGTTGTTGTAAATAGAAAGGGGGAGTTCTACAGATTATGCTGAGCTAATTCAGTTGCTTCCTTATTCTTCGGACTAAACAGATTCTGTGAAGAACTCTGATTCATACAATGAAGGGCCACAACTGGAGTAACCTCTATTCACAATTGTATCATTTGATGATAGAATTTATTTGGGATTTTGGTGCCAATTTCTTCATACTATTGGATTCATCAGATCATCACATGGCAAATCCCACAACACAGAGTCTGAACTGAATATACTTGTCCCATTTCTCATCTCTTTTCCACCCTCTGATAGCTCCTCTCCGTGTTCTTCAAGGATTTCATGCAGTTGCCCCTGTTGTTCTCCTCCAGTGCATGTACTCCCCGTACACATGCTCTGGCTCCATGATGGCACGTCCCCTTCATTGCCAAACGAGGGCGGCGGGTATTGAAATCCTGACGTTGATGCCGGGAAGCAATTGCTTGTCCCCTCCAAGTTCGTTGTTGTTGCATCAGTAGAATTCCAAGGCTTATATGGAGTGATCAGATCAGACTGTTGAATGGCTCTTGACAAACCAAGTTTGATATTCTCGACAGTACCATCTTTCTCATTTTGGTTGTTGTGATTATAAGTTCCTGAGGAACTTCCCGGCGGTACATTGGCCTGTTGGAGCTGGAAGTCAACACACTTCTTAGTAAGAAGGTGAAGCATTTCGTCTTTGAAGCAGCCAAGCGCAGCCTCAGCAAGATGGGCAACTTGTGGAGGGGCTAAAGTGGTGGCGATTTCAGCCATTAGATGGGAAAATGGTTTGTGAGTAACTGGATCAATGCCCATACCTGATAGCTTCTTCTTCAGCTTAGTGTTCCAGTGATTCTTGACATCATTGTCGGTGCGGCCAGGTAACTGAGCTGCAATCAGAGACCACCTGCGGGGTCGAGATCGGTCATCTTATTTAGTACAAATTCATTTTGATGATTGACAAGCAATGCTGATATGAAGAAGGTGGTGAACCTGTTCCCAACAACAGAATGTAGCTTGACAATAGTTTGCTCTTCCATATCCGAAAATTGGCCATGCTTGAGGTCGGGGCGCAGGTAATTCGTCCAACGTAGCCTGCAGCTCTTCCCACATCTTTGGAGACCTGAATGTCATCGCAGCATTAGGCATTGAGTAATTAAAACGATTTCAAATGTTCTAAAGGGAGAGAGTTATACCAGCATTCTTGGGTATGAGGCGCCAGTTGCGAGTGCCATGCTGAGAAATGTAGGAAGAGAGCTTGTTATCTTCTTCAGGCGTCCACTGTCCTCTCTTAACATTTTCCTTCTCACAGCATGGAATTCTCCCCATTTTTCTTTCCTTTTCTTTTCTTAACCAAAAGCAAAACAATAACAAAAAGAAACAAAAAGCCAAAGAACAGAGATGGCAAGGCAAAGAACAGTACAATGTTAAAAGAGAATGCTTTGTTGCTTCACTATCTGCTTTGCTCAATACTCTTTTATTTTTTGGTTCCAAATAAAGAAAAAGAACAAGGGAGGTGGGTTTTTTCTATTATGGGAAGAGAGAAGATTGGCATTGTTATATATAATGGACAGTAGGAAACGAGAAGTGATTGCATGGGGTTGGTTATATGGTAAAAGAGAGAGAGAGAGAGAGAGAGGCATCAAAGCTGCATGATTTTATTAAAGAATTCAACGCCATTGAGCGTGTGAGAGATGGGTCGGTAGCTCACTCTTCAGACACCTGGTCAACCCCCTCTCTCTCCCCCTAACTTTCTCTCCCCTCCACTCGTTGACTTTTATGTAAGGTTAATCATATGCTGTGGGGACACGTGGCTTTCAGGTCTTTTTTTTTCTCTCAAGAATATAGCCACCTAAAAGATCATCTCAGTAATTCTTCGGAACACATTTTTATTCACAAAAGTTGCAGGTCTAGCATCTGGAAATGAACAATATTTACAGTAAAATTACACTGAATCATGTTTCCTAGTTAAAAGAAGCCCAAGATAGACCAGTATGCTTAGGCACTTACAGCACCTCTTGCATTGTAACACAACCTTTGAGCTAAGTTTTCTTGGAGAGAACCCTTCTAAATTTCACTGAAGGTTCCTCCTCAGCTACGCTTTCAAACTCTCCAGTTTGCCCTCTAAAACAAATAAAAACTCAACATTTCAGCCAACTTCAAATGGTGAAAATATAGAGCTATCACGTTTACTCACCGGGTAAAGGAGGATCAACGTGCACGAAAAAACTAGCTGCCACTATCAGATAACAAAGGATAAGCATAAGTCCCTTGAAGTAATTTGAAGTTCCTTCCTGTAGAAAAACGTAACTTTTACATGGATGATGAATAAACTCAAGTCTTTGATTATTCTGAAATGGGAAGTAAAAGAAGAATTTATATTCCAAGATATGAAGAACAGGTTTTGATTACAGACCTGCAGCAAGAAAGCTACTACTATTACAGTTATAAAAAGTGTAGCTGTCTCGAAGAGTTTAAAGTTCAAGTCCATTGGTTGTCCCATAATCCACCCAATTACCACACAGAAGGGAACCTGCATTGATTTTCCAAACGAGATGACTTGAGAAATTCAAATGTTGAGAATAAAAAAAGATCTAACTTTTAAGAAAGGAACTTACAACATTAAATTTAAAAGTTTAAACTTACAACATTAAGTTGAAAAACTAAATGTAACTAAAAAGAAGAAGAAAAAACTTGTAACTGACGGTAGAAAACAACCTTCAATACTTCATTCATTAGCTACGGGACACAAGTAAGAACAAATCAGCTGAAGGCCATCGCGATGCAGATTCAAATTCAGAGAAACATTACAGGCTCGCAATGACAAAGTGACAGAAGGACACTAAAAGTTGAATTTTGTACAGCAAGTAGAAGAAATAAGGACTCAGCACCATCATGTTCAAATGGATACAATTACTTACCCCGAACATAGATATCTGGGTTGATGATCCGATGGCTACACCCAGAGAAATATCCTGCCAAGAAACTAGAGATCGCATCAGTCCGTTTTTCCATCACAAGGAATTTAGATGGATAATATGTTCTAAAGCTTACAAGCTTATCTTTCATAGCAAACATAACAGCGCTTGCATGCTCAGCAGCATTCCCCACAATCGGAAGCAGTATAACACTAATAAACGACACTGGGATTTTCAATGATTCAGATGCAACCTGTAAAAGAATCAATTAACAAGCTAAGCTTCTTGACAAAAGTTGAAGCTTTTCCCAAGAAGGCGATGAAATAAAAAGTAATACTTCGATTGCATCAACCAAGTATTCTGATAGAACGGAGATACAGGCAGTCAAAATTGATAGCCAGATAACTGATTCCCACTTGGTGATCTCAGGAGCTTCATCTTCATCTGAGATTTCTTCACTCCGAGTTTCTTCCTGAAGTTGTAGCTCAAATAGAACGTGGATTACTAAGTGAACAAAAATATCAAGTAAAATGGGGGAAAAAAAGATGATGCTGGTCAACAAAAGGGCATCCGTTCGACTCATAGTTAACTCTCCTATCTCTCATTCTGGTCTGCCATCATTTAACCAATCAAAACAAAAAACTATGACTAGATTTTGGGGTTTTTTTTAATCAGGATTTAAACTAATATATGACTAAGACCATTGTGCCCGTTCTAAACTTTTTATGAGGGTCTTTTAGGACAACTGCATCACCCTACTGCCTGAGATCCCATAAGCCCCACAAGGAATAAATATTATGCAGAAGACAGCACAAATTATCTTCCATGATGATGCATAACTTCAAAAGAAAGACCAAAATAACATAATTAACCTCATAAACGGAAGAATAATTATTCCTCTGACTTTTTAACTGAAAGAAAAGATAAGCAGCATAAGCCAGAAGCATAATGCAACTGCTGAATCTAGAAAGTGCCAATTCCGACTTCCCAAAATGGGCTTCGCTGTGGGTGTAGTTGAGAAGAACAGGAAAAAGAAGGCCCATGACAGCCATTAACAACAATCCTGAGTTGACACCAGCAGCTGCCTACATGAAATTTCAGCTTTAGCACAAAAAGTAGCTTAAAAACTAATAGGTAAAAGGAAAAGCCATTCCTGGGTTGGGGTGAAACTGAAACCTTTATACCTTGTTAAAAGTCTGTTCCTTTTTGTTGAAAACAAGCCCACCACAGAAGAATGCACAACCAAGCACCAGCAACATGTTCGACAGAATTGAGCCTAGCAAGGATAGCTGAACAACACGTATCATTTGATTTTTCAGTGCAAAAATTGATATGATGAGTTCTGTTGCATTTCCAAAAGTAGCATTTAGTAGACCGCCAACTGCAGATTCAATCGTCAAGTGAGTGGAGAAAATTTAACAAATAATGGATCATTATAACCAAATCCAAAAGAAAACAGAATAGACATGAAACAGCTGTGCATATGGAAGAATGGTTAATTGAAAAGGAAAACTTCGCCTAATCAGAATAAGAAAGGTTTACCACTTTTTTACACGGTTAAGGGGACGCTTGATCCCCTTATACCTCTGTAATTACTTTTTCATTGATGTGCGTATGTGCACACTAATGTTTTTCCTACCAAATACACATGAGATTTTCACAACTACGATAATTTGTATATAGTACACTACGACAGCACCCTCCCTCCCCCTCTCCCTCCCCTTCTCAGGATTGTACTGATTCAGTAGACTAATGGCAACAGAGGAATCAGCACCAGAAGTTACAGTGCAAAAAGAACATTTTTGCAGTTGCAGATATTTTACAACACCTAAGGCATATCATTGAACATACAATCATCATAAGTTATCCCAGTGTCAAAAAGAAAAGCTATATAAACTCATAAACATCCCATGAACAGGTTTCTTAACTCCAAATATCAAAAGAACTCAGAAAATCATAGTCGTGACAAATTGAGATCGAGACTCAACCTGTAGGCCCAGTGTAAAAAGCCAGCTGCCTGTTTCAAGGGAAAAATTAGATGAGCTGCAAAAAGCTTTTTAGATTAAAAAGAAAAAGAAAAAACCAGTAGAAATTTAGCATTAAATGTGAGATCCTGAAGTCCTTACTCTGTTGCATAACCTAACCGCTCAGCGAACGGTATGATACCCAATAGACTCAGGAAGAAGACCCAACTCTGTAATCCACATAAAGACCTCAACAAAGACATAATCCATAACTGATATAAATTCATACCCAACAGTGACGTCTTTAACTTACATTGTGTCCAGTCAACTTATCCACAAGAATTGCTAGCGGCCCAAAAGACATAAGGAAGTTGAGTTTATTTGAGAAGATTACAATCTTCACGCTCTTGTAAGCAAAACTCTCCGACATTCTCGTACCAACTTGAAACCTTCCAGAACTGATTCATATACGACAGCATTAATAGACAGCATCCTTCATTCTTTTAAGGAAAAAAAATAAAGGCTGCACCCTTAAAACCTCAGTTACTGAACCCCTTATAAAGGTTCTCCTCATCCAACCCTTATATTATTACCATACAAGGAAGCCATACGTAAAAGCAAGAATCCTTCAAAATCAATAGCCATATAACAGAGGAACAGAGAACAAAACATGATTTGCCAATATATTTGTGTTGAGATTAATATAGATTTCCAAATATAAAAGTATTTATGCAGCTGATTAGTTTGAATATCCTATTAATACAAGTCCAGAAAACCTCCACTATATCCATGCACATGTATCAACCTATAGAGAATCATATTTGTTCTAAATTCAAAACTGTACAAAAGGATCAACCACATCACCAACAATTGAATCAAGGTTATATATGAGGTAATCCAAATTAAACACCAAGAGCTGAATCCACATGGACTAGAATCAAAAGTTCAGAACCTAATCCATGAATTCACCAGTCCTCTGCTCTCGATCCAAGCAAAAGAAAACAAATACGAACCGAAATTCGAGGCCGAAGAAAGCAACAGCTAACATTCAAATTGTTCTACTTCAAGCATACAATATCCAACTCAAATTTAGAAGAAGACAAAGTTCGTTGTGATTTACCGTAATTAGTGGATAAAAGCGAAACAAATAGAGGTTGAAAAGAGCTGAAGCGAACTCAGGTTAGCAAGAATCTCGTGAAGAATCGACCTGAATACGAAGAAACCAAAAGACAAGGTTCGATTGTCGTTGATCGACTAACCCAGAACCAACAGAAGAGTGACAAATTTTGTACGTTCCAGAGCTCAAAAATGCTACGACGTGTAAAGAAATCCGATGAAGCTTTATGATGACAGTGCGCTATTCACTCGACAGAGAAGAGATAGAACACCGAATTGCTTCGAAATTTGAAGCGTTGGTGTTCTTCCGACGACTGTCTCTGTGTGCTTTTCACGTCTGTCTTCCAAAGTCGGTAGCCATTGCCACTCTCCATTTTGAAATAATTACGGCAGCCTCCGTTTAAATACTAAATTAATAAATTTAAAAAAAAAACATACTTTATCTATAAAAAAAAATATATATTTGTAAATATTTGAATAATATCCTTCCAACTTTAAAATAATAATAATAATAAATAAATAAATAAATATTTCCTTTAATTTAAAAAATACCTCAAAATATTTTAAAAATTTATTAATACTCTTAAATTTCTTTTACCATTAATATACTTATTTTTGTTTTTTAATATATTAATTTATTATTATTATTAATATGTAGGCTCCATAAAATTTTTAGGAGTCAAAATTCGGGTAACATAAAAGAAAATTTAATTTGAAAATGCTTTGAAGGCTAGTTGAAATATTTAAAGTGCACGACACTTCAAGAATTTGAAGGATCGACAATTTAAGGTTAATCTAACCCGACTAGAAACAGATCCATAAATTAGAAGGTCAATACTAGTATATCCACGTCTAAAGATTTAAAGCTTACCAAAGATATAATCTAAGGATTAGTATTTGAGTCGGTACAAACCCGTATTTAGTTTGCATATTAGATTTTGTTAAAAACTGTGATCACCTTCATCATTGGGTTAGCCTAACACGATATGACCCAACCCAACTTTAAAAAGTGAAGGCACAAGTTCGGTCCAAGCTCTAGTATATGGAAAAAAGGAATATTTTCATTCGTATAGCGGAAACAGTTGAATCAATGAATCAATTAAGCAATTATTTGATTCTCGAGTATTGTTTTTCCCGACATTCTAAACAAAATATTGAAAACAGTACCAATAGACAAGCACTTAAAAGGCAATACAAACGTGAAGAAGTAGACATATAAGTTCATTTCAAGAACTCTATGATCCAAAAATTGCATAGGAAATAGATGAATTTGATGTGTTTAAAGCCAGCTTTGGTTGCGAGGGCTTTAAACTCATCGCGACTACGCTCCTTTCCTCCTGGGTTTTGAGTCATCATAAGCAAATCGCCTTGGCTGATGGCTTTCTCTGCAGCTGTCGTCTCCGGCACCGTCGGAACCACTCCCTCCATCACGATTACCTTTCCGTCGTCCGGGATGGACAAGTAGCAATTTTTCAACAGCTTCACGCAATGCTCGTCACTCCAATCATGAAGTATCCACTACATAAAAAAGTTACATAAACTGAGTGAGGCCTTTTTTGGGAAGCCCAAAGTAAAGTCACGAGAAATTATGCTCAAATTGGGCAATATCATACCATTCTCGAGATCAAAATATTATAAAATAAGAATGTATTTAGAAAAATAACCTTCATGAAAATAGCATCTCCCTTTGGAACTTTCTCAAACATGTCTCCTCCCACGTGTTCTACACCTGCTAATATTTTTGCTTTACAAATTATCCTTCAAATTCCCGAATAATAATAATTTTTTTTGAAAATATAGAAATCAAAATTGAAAATAAAGTTCGAGAAGAAATTGTTTACCTGGATAGAATGGTGCATCTTCAATAACATGAGGCAAGTCGAAGTTGATACCTTTGATTGAAGGGTATGCAGACGTGATGATTTTAAGGGTGACTCCGAGGCCACCACCAACATCAACTAGTTGCTTGAGGTTTGCAAAGCCGTTGTAGGACTCGACAACTACCTTGATGACCATGGTGGTGTGATTTATCATTCCGTTGTTAAAAACTTGATTAAATCTTTGATCCAAGCGAGGGTATTCAAAGGCATGAACTCCTCCATGGGTTCTATTGAATGGAATTCCTCCTTCGATCACAGCATTCTTCAGCTCACTCCTGTAAATATAATTTCGATTTTAGGACATTTGGTTCACGAGTTAGATCGTGTTTTTAAATTAAGGTTTTGATAAACTAAGTGTTATTTAAAATGTTCATAATATATCATCGATGAAAAGAAAAGAGCAAACCAGCTCTCGAGAAAGACTTTATCTTGAATCATCGATAACAAAGCACCCAATGACACGCCATCTTCATCGAGAACAAAATACTTAGCCACCGGCGTAAGGCTATACAATCTCTGCTGATTCCCATTTTCATCAATGATCACAGAGCATCCCACCACCGAGTGGGTCGCCAGAAGCCTCAGGATCCGATCGATCATCGACGCCGCATCCGGGTTCGAGGTGGTTATCTTAGCGGTTATCTCAGTCGGAGACAGCTCGGCCCCATTGCCGGCCTTGGCCAAGATCTCAAACAATCCCAGCTCGAAGGCTGCTTGGAGTGTCATCGGCAGAACTGATGAGGTAACCAATTGCATAGCGTAAGCGAAGTGTTGGTGTTGTTGGTCGTCGTCGGAGATGGAGGAAGCTATGGTTGACTGTTCCTCCGCCGTGGAACCCATCGCCGGAGCTCTGTGATGAGGAGGGGAAGCCGAGGTTGCAGCAGCAACTTTTTTAATGGTTGGAGTTAAAGATAGAAGGTTAGTGGTGTGCAATGAGGATATGGGGTTTTTTTGGCTACTCACTTTAGCTTTTTATAAAAAGAAAAAATATATTTTTTTAATTATTTATCAACGTAGCCTTCCACGCATGTATTGGGGTTGAATCTTGTATCATTCATATCATACATGGTCTTAGTACGTATCATATTATAAAACATGTCACAACATCTATTGTATCGTCAAACATGTTACACCATAACATATATCGTATCATCAGTGCATCACATCATAACACGTCTCAAACTTTAACATAACACATCGCCAACATTTCATAGTCATATCATGTCCTAAACATATCGCACATATCAAGCATATGACACGTACAGAACCACAGGACATGTATCATAAGCACCAACATTATTTAAAAAGAAGTAAACATAGGTTCATTTCAAGAACTCTATGATCCAGTGATTGCTTAGGAAACAGACGTATTTGACGTGTTTAAACCCAGCTTTGGTTGCGAGGGCTTCAAACTCATCACGAGTTCGCTCCTTTCCTCCTGGGTTTTGAGTCATCATAAGCACATCGCCTTGGATGATGCCTTTAGCTGCATCGGAGGTCTCAGGCACCGTTGGAAGCACTCCCTCCATCACGATTACCTTTCCATCGTTCGGGATCGCGGCGTAGCAATTCTTCAACAGCTTCACGCAATGTTCGTCACTCCAATCGTGAAGTATCCACTGTATAAAGTTACATAAATACTTTATCATTATCGATTACGATTCAAAAATATTAATAAAGGGACATAGACGATTTCCATTCATATATTAACACTAAAAAAATTAAACTTTTTTTATAAAGATTACGAGTATTAATACTACCCGATATTAACATTATGAAATAAATATATATAGAAAACTAACCTTTATGAAAATAGCATCTCCCTCGGGAACTTTCTCAAACATGTCTCCTCCTACATGTTCCACACCTGCCAACATTTTTTGTTTACAAATTATCCTCCAAATTTAATATAATCAAGCTACTCGAAATTTTTTAAAAGTATAGAGATAAAGTTCGGGAAGAAATTGTTTACCTGGATAGGAAGGTGCATCTTGAATAACATGAGGCAAGTCAAAGTTGATGCCTTTTATTGAAGGGTATGCAGACGTGATGATTTTAAGGGTGACCCCGAGGCCACCACCAACATCAACTAGTTGCTTGAGGTTTGCAAAACCGTTGTAGCACTTGACAACGGCCTTGATGGCCGTAGTGGAGTAGTTTATCATTGCGTTGTTGAAAATTTGATTAAATCTTTGATCCAAGCGAGGGTATTCAAAGGCGTGAACTCCCCCATGAGCCCTATTGAATGGAACTCCTCCTTCAATCACGGCATTCTTTAGCTCACTCCTGTAAATATAATTTCGAATTTAGGACATATGATTTATGAGTTAGATCGAGTTTTGTTTAGTATGTACAAAATTACGATGAAATGCTCATAATATATCATTGATTAAAAGATTAGAACGAACCAGCTATGAAGAAAGACTTTATCTTGGATCATCGATACAATAGGACCCAACGACACGCCATCTTCATTCGGAATAAAATACTTAGTCACCGGCATAAGGCTATACAATCTCTGCTGATTCCCATTTTCATCAATGATCACAGAGCACCCCACCACCGAGTGGGCCGCCATAAGCCTCAGGATCCGATCGATCATCGACGCAGCATCCGGGTTCGAGGTGGTTATCTTAGCAGCTATCTCAGTCGGAGACAGCTCGGCCCCATCGCCAGCCTTGGCCAAGATCTCAAACAAGCCAAGCTCGAAGGCTGCTTGGAGTGTCATCGGCAGAACTGATAAGGTAACCAATTGCGCAGCGTAAGAGTAGTGTTGTTGTTCTTGGCTGTCGTCGGAGTTGGAGGAAGCCATGGCTGACTGTTCCTTCGCCGTGGAAGCCATTGCCGGAGCACTGTGATGAGGAAGGGAAGCTGTGGCTGCAGCAGCAACTTTTTTAATGGTTGGTGTAGTAGATAGAAGGCTAGTGGTGTGCAATGAACATGTGAGGTTCTTTTATATATATATATATATAT